AATAAGATCCAAGATTTCTTATAAAGCGATTTATTTGGTCAAATATACTTTACAGTTGTCCCTTGTCGTTATTTCCTTCACATTTTTTTTCTTCAACCCCAACAAATATCTGTCCAATGTGCCAACCAAAAATGTAAAATCAGTTCCATGCAAAAGTGGTCAACATTTTTTTTACGAACCACAAAAAAACAAAAAATAAAAAAAAATTGGGGGAAAAAAATTACCAAAAATTGCTTCACCAAATGAGGACATGCACGTAAATAACAGAAGGTTTTGGCCCTACAAATAAATACTTAAAAAGTATTTACAGTCACATTTCTTAGTGCACATTTCTATYTACATTATTCACAGGAGAATAAATTAGAAAAAAAAATGAAAACACGAATAATTTATCTGCTTGGGAGCAAATTGTCAGTCTCACCTGTCAGACAAAAAACAAAATCTGAATCCTCCGTTTTTGTTCTTCATGCGTTCAAACAAATTCAACAGGACAGAGAGTCGGTTTGAGTTTTTAATAATAATTGTTTTTTTTTTTTTCAGGTGTTTTAATCTGAGTTTATGGTCTGGTCCCCTGCTCTATCTGTTGGTGCTGACTCCTCACAGCAAACCTGTTGACGTGCACGGGGATGGGGACGACTATTTTGGGGTTTCTCACCGGTTCTCCTGACCGGTTGTTGACGTTGCCGGCCTTGATCCGTTTCCACTTGGCCCTGCGGTTCTGAAACCAGATCTTCACCTGCACCTCGCTCAGTTTCAGGGCGTGCGCGATCTGCGAGCGCTCCGTCAGAGAAAGGTACTTTTTACAGTGAAACTCCTTTTCCAGTTCCAGCAGCTGCTCGCTCGTGAAAGCTGTTCGTCTCCTGCGGCTCTTCCCGGCCGAGCCCCCCGTGGGCAGCGCCTCCTGAGAGCCGGTTTTTAGTTTGCCCTTCTGGGACAGGGCCCCGCAGTTGTTCCCGTCCGAGAAACTTTCGTTCTCGCTGTCCGCGGAGCTGTCCTCCCTGTCGCTGCACACCGTGTCCGCCGACTTCAGGTCCAGCTTCTCGTCGTCTGAACTGTACAGTTTGGTCTCACCTGAACAAATAATAGAAAAAATCCAACAAAGGTTTACAAACGGAGTCCAAACGTTTTCAGCTACAAGTGAAAAACATTTGAAGTGATTCTGGTGACAGCAAATTAATTTTGCGTAAAAAAAAAAGCTTCCAAAACGCGCACAAATTTCAAGAATTTGAAAAGAAATTTGTAATTTTATTAGTCAGTTAGGCTACGTTGTTTTTCAGTACACTTTGGACAACTTTGAAAATCTATCCTTTAGTTTGCTTACACGTRGACTTTAATAAAACTACAATTTGAACGTGTTTGCTTCTAAAATCTTCAAAATCTGTTTAAACTTAATTCAAGTGAGGCCATTTAATAGTTTATTTTTTATCTCTTCAACATAAAATGTTCTAAACCTTCCTGACACATGTTGCATCATTCCCATTTCTGTCAACACACAAACCTGGCAGCAACAAGCTTAGCCAAACCTCGATTTTTACGCGTTTTACGCACAGTGCCAACTGTTTTTTTTTTTACGCGCGGGTCTTGAGCCTTAATTATGATGGCTGAGCGCAAAGTCCAAACGTGGTTGGAACTTACCTGATATTGTTTGAAAAGTTTCCGAAAAGTTGAGCAGCTCGGAGCCTTTGTCCCGACCGTGCAGCTCGTCGGAGTGCGGACTCTCCTGCCTCCTCGCCCCGGGGTCAGCGGCGCTCAAGCGGGGCCCGGGCAGCTCCTGCGGCGGGTAGAAACTGTCCGGGGGATCCGAGAAGCTCGGCATCGTGGTGGTGAGCGCGACCATGGACGGCACCCCTTGGCCCAGACTGGCACAGAACGTGTTGGTGAGGCGCCCGGCAAAGGAAGCCAGCGGCGCGAGCGGAGGGATCCCGGACGACAGAGGCGAGTGGGACAGAGCTTGAGGGATGACCAGAGGTCTGTAGGGCATGAACATCGGGTAGCCCGTGTAGAGGAGGTGCCCCGGCCTGGGCTGAGGGGTTCCTATTAGGGAGTCGATTGAAAACGCTGTCCCCTGACCGCCTGGTCGTTGCATTTTTGCAGCAAAACGCTTTTTTTTTTTTAAATCTGAGAAGGAAAGCTTGGCACAAAACGTCCTCTCCTCGTCGACGCGCAGGAAAAAAAAGTTAACTTTAAAAACACAGAGTGGACTGAAAGTAGATCCTCTGGTCTGTTGTCATCTCTGGGAGTGGATTCCTTTTTTTTAATTTGATTTCTTTTGCTCCGGATCTCTGCGCTCTGCAGCCCGAGCCAGTCGCCAGCTTTGTTGTGTCCCTTTCCCCCCTCTTATTCGTCCCACACTGAGACATAAACACACGTTCTCTATCTATCTACCTCTCCCTGCTTCTCCGCGGCTCCTCCCCCCGCGACGCACACTGTGTGAGCGGGAGCGCGCAGGAACAGAGGCCGGGAGCGCATTGGTTATCATCTGCAATACAAGAGGACTGAGGGGGGGGGGGGGGGGGGGGGTGTTTCCCTGGGGGCTCATCCATCTTCCTCAAATTACGCTTCATTTCCTTATTCAGCCTCTGACTTTTTGGCCGTCTTGAGAGGCGGTAGTTTCCCAGTGGAGACCAAATAGAAGAGTCGCACCCATGGCCCTCCTCCCCCTCAACTTTTTTTAATCCCCCCCCTCCTTCTCCAGGTTTCACCATTGACTGCGAAAACGGTGTGAGAGACTGCTCCAGCCCTTCCCCTTCTATAATCGTTGACCACACCAACCCAATCAGCTATTATTAATTTTGATTGATGATAAGTAATTACTCTGGATTCAAGGGGACAGCGTAAAAACAACGCCGGGCCCTCTTTCTTTTTTTTTTTTTGTTTGCTTGGGGTGGGGGGATCTCGGAGGGGGCCCGATGGGCATCAGGAGCCAGTCAGGAGAGGGGAGGAGAGGCAGATGTTTCACCGCTCGCTGTCCTTATTCTCCACCGGCTGAAAAACAAAACAAAACACACACACACACACACACACACACACACACACACACA